TAAGATTTTACTTGCATGCAATATTAATGATATTGTTCGATAATTTCCCCATTCTGTGGGATCACTTTTCTTTGGAATGGGTACAAATATGGATCTCTTCCAGTCTGTTGGCAAGGTAGCTGTCTTCCAAATCTCTGGGCATAAGTGAGTGAGTGCCTCCAGTGGGGCATCTTTTTGTTGAAGCATCTCAATGGGTATTCCATCAATTCCTGGGGCTTGTTCTTCACCAATTCCTTCGGTGCAGCTTCAACTTCTTCCTTCAATACCATTGATTCTTGAACACATGCCACCTCCTGAAATGAATGAAGATTGACCAGTTCTTTTTGGTACAGTAACTCTATGTATTCCTTCCATCCTCTTTTGATACTTCCTGCATCATTCAATATTTTGCCAATAGAATCTTTCAATATTGCAACTCGAGGCTTAAATTTTTTCCTCAGTTCTTGGAGCTTGAGAAATGCCAAGTGTGTTCTTCTCTATTGGTTTTCTAACTCCAGGTTCTTGCACATTTCATTATAGTAATTGGCTTTCTCTGCTCGAGCTGCTCTTTGAAATCTTTGATTCAGTTCTTTTATCTTGTCATTTCTTCCATTTGCTTTAGCTACTCTTCTCTCAAGGGCAAGTCTCAGAGTCTCTTCTGACATCCATTTTGGTCTTTTCTTCTTTTCTGGTCTTTTTAATGACCTGTTGCTTTCTTCATGGATGATGCTGTTGATGTCATCCCACAGTTCTTCTAGTTTTGAATCATTGGTGTTCTATGTATCAAATCTATTCTTTAGATGGAGTCTAAATTCAGGATGGATATATTCAAGATATATTTTGGCTCTCGTGGACTTGTTTTAATTGTATTCAACTTCAAGTTGAGCTTGCATATGAGCAGTCAATGGTCTGTTCCACATTCAGTTCCTGGCCTGGTTTTGGCTAAAGATATTGAAGTTTTATCTCACCTCTTGCCACAGAGGTAGTCAGTCTGATTCCTGTGTACTCCATCTGGCGAAATCCATGTTTGTAGCTGCTGTTTGTGTTGTTGAAAAAATGGTATTTGCAATGAATAAGTCGTTGGTCTTGCAAAATTCTATCATGTGATCTCCAGCGTTATTTCTGTCACCAAGGCCAAATTTTCCAACTACCAGTGATACTTCTTTGTTTCCAACTTTTGTATTCCAATCACCAGTGATAAGCAACA